AGACTTTAGTTCTTATGTTTCAGGCTAATGAAAGTTTCTTAAGCTTTTCCCAGTGACTCCAATCTTTAAGTTGAGAGGCTTTTGTTCCAGAGTTTCCCCCAAAGACTTCAATACACTTTCTATGAGTATTCTCTAACTCTCTTGGTTTCCAGAAGGCTGGTACACCATTCACAGTCCTTTATCTATTTACACAACACTTCTAAGCTTTTAAAAGTGCAATCTGTCACACCACCACCATCTTCAAGAGATACTTTCTGTTTCTTTACAGTTGTAGTTTGGTGGCTGCAGTAATTAATTAATTAGCCAGGAGATCCTAAGATTGTCTGGCAGCCAGACATTCTAGCTCTTTAGGATTATGCACCACTAGGTGGCGAGTTAGTCTTATTTTTAAGGCAAGAGACGTTTCAGGGCCTAGTTGTTTGTAAGTAGTTACTGCCCCTAAATTATACTCGTTGCCTCATCTTTTCATCTCCAGTAAAGTTAGCTATGTGAAACCAGTCCATAACCGCTCCTCCTTCTGTAATGACCTGCTAAGACACTTTACAGATGTTGGGCATCTTCAGAATACTGCCTGCCTACCCTAGGCGTCTGATTCAGGAGTGGATATGGAGACTGGGAGGGCTTGAGCCTAGGGATGCCAGCCTCCAGGTGGGACCTGAGAAACTCCTGGAATTACAGCTCATCTCCCTTGGAGAAACCCCAAAACCCTTCCCTTGAAACACCAGCACCCATCTTGAGTTTTTAACTGGCTCTTCATGTTTCTACAGGCAGTTTCTAGCCACACCAGACCAAGGATCTCTTCATTCTTCAGAGCTAACTCCCTATTTGACTGGGTAGGGAAATTCCTTCTCTCTCTTGAAGATCTTTCCCCTTTCCTTGGCCTGAATGGGAGTCTTCACCTACTTCACAAACTTCCTTGCCAACTTTCCCCCAGTTCTCCTGTCTGTGTTAAACTGCTCTCAGCGAAGGCTGAATTCCAAAACTGTCAGTACTCCACTCTTCTCAGCTAAGGCTGAAATCAGACTCTCAGTACTCAATTCAGTCAAGGCAGAAAACTGAATGGGTCTCTCCTCAGCATGCAGCTCTCACAAGACTCTCTGCTCAGCTGATGTTAACCAATCAGATTGCTTGGAGCAGCCTGTCACTCAAGGCTCTGTGTTTCTGTGAAGAACTAGCCCTTCACAGTCCTTCAGCTGTTTGTTCAGCACTTCTAAGCTTTTAAAAAAGTGCAGCCTGTCACAGAATATTATAGTGCTAATGACTTTTTTATGTCCCCCTTCCTGTGTCTACTTTAGATTATATCCTATTGCAGTTTTCAGGATCACCTGCACTCATGAAGCACATCAGATCTGTGCTGGCCACATGTAAGGTTTTGCCCCCCACCCCGATTTCCCTTCTGTTTTACAAGGTTAACAGAGATAACTGCAGAACCAAAATGGCCTTTATAGCTTTCTCCACTGTTGACATCCACATGACCTTCTGTGTTTTGCTGTCCTTAACAAACAAAAAATTATTTGCTTTTTTCCAGGAATTTGCCCCATACTTCAGTTTATGTGCTACATCCACACAGTCCTGCTTTTAGGCTGTGAGGCCCAAAACAAAGATTTTACTCTGCCCTGCACTCTTCCCCGTGTAGGCAGTTGCTACTGCATGCTCAAGGGCTATGCAATTTCTGTTGAGGCTTCTGTGGCTGGTCAGAGCAGGGGCTAGGACTCTGACCAGCTGAATGTTCTTTCTCTATCACATGCAGTTGGGTGCAACTAGGGGGAGCAAATCCTTCAGTCTGCATTTGTGTTGTTCCCATTGCCCAGTATAGACTTGCCTGCCTGAACTTTTTCCACTCAACCTTCTACCTCCTGAAATTCTTTGCCAAAGCCTTGATGTCTCCTCTTGTTTTTTCCTCTCAGAGTCTAAACCTAATGTAGTTCCACTGGGGAGGTAACCCTGTCATTACTCTGCTCTGTACATACGGAACACATGACCAGAACATCATACAGAATACTGTATACAAACATGAAGCTGCCTTATACCAAATAATAAATAATAATAATACTTTCCATTTATTAATCGCTTTCCCCAGTGGGCTCAAAGCGATGTACAGTTACTCAGTATAGACAGGGGACTAACAATATTTGTAGGGGATAGGGAAGACAACTTATATTCATTTTTAATTGCACGCGCTGTCACTGCCTGGTATAGACGTCTTTCTGGCTTGGCTCTGTCGTTTTCCGCAGGGCTGCTCATTGGCCAGGCTTCAGGACCCGTATGTCAATCGCCACACTGCCACCGCCTGGCCGGAACATCCATTGCAGGGATTCTTTCGTAGCCCAGAAGCTGTTTTGCCTTCCAAGCCTCGACCAGGACGTCCGACCATCAGCTAACACCCTCCCACAAGGGAGATTGGCGTGCCCACTCTCTCTAAGGAGTGGTTCCCATTTTATCTACTCTCCGAAGCTTTCGAATTGCTGGGTGGACGATGAGCTGGGGACAACAGGCTGGCTGCTCACACCAGCGCGGGGCTTGAACCAACACAGTTCAGATGGTAAGACAGTGGGATATACCCACTGTGCCACCGCTCCCCACCTCTTGAACCAACACAGTTCAGATGTTAAGACAGTGGGATATACCCGCTGTGCCACCAAGTGAAAGCATTAGTCTTATTATGGTCAGTAGTGTCGACTCTTATTGGTGGGGCTCTCTGGAGTCTTTTAACATCACCTACTACCTCACCACCGCAACCTGGATGACCCAGGCTAACCCGATCTCCTCAGATCTCAGAAGCTAAGCAGAAGCTAAGCCCTGCTTAGTATTTGGATGGACGTTCACCAAGGAATTCCAGGGTTGCTACGCAAAGGCAGCCAATGGCAAACCACCTCTGTTTGCCTCTTCCCTTGAAAACCCTACAGGGTTGCCATAAGTCAGCTACAACTTGATGGCACTTTCTACTACCTGACCCTTTTAACTGGAGATGCCAGGGACTGAACTTGAGACTGTCTGCATGCAAAGCAGATGCTTCACCATTGAAACATGGCCCTACCCCCCCCCCATATAGATAAACCTATATCAACCTCAAGAGTTTCCTCATAATATAGAAAAACCAATGGACAGAAGTAACTTCATTTAATTTTATTTGATTAATTAGAACCACTAATTTAAAAAACACCTGAAAGGGAATTCCTTGAGATTGCTCTGCTTGATATGCATACCAGTCAGCAGTATTTAATGCCAGAGCTATCCTGAGATTCCTTAATTTCAGGTTTGTGACCACTTTACTTGCTTCTTTTAAAACAAAAGATTGAAGCAGGGCAGGTACTTATTTAGCATATCAGTTTTGCAATGATATAGTCTGAAACAATACAAATTAATGCACCAAGCCACAATGTTATATTATATGCTCCTACACAAACACATTTTGCTAGACAGAAAAAGTAACAATTAAGATACCTTTTAAAAATCTAACTATACAAATAAACTAATTATAGTCATATGCTACCAGTACAACTGCAAGATATGCAGTTCATCACCCACACATATCGAAGCAGGACGAAGAATTGGGCTAAACATGAAATTAAATGAAATAATAAAATATAAGTTTCCCAAGTGATATGCAGACGATACCACTCTAATGGCAGAAAGTGAAGAGGACCTAAAGAGCCTCTTGCTCTGAGTGAAAGAGGAGAGTGCAAAAGTTGGCTTGAAACTCAACATCCAAAAAACTAAGATCATGGCATCCGGCCCCATCCCTCCTTGGCAACAGAAGAGGAAGTCATGGAAGCAGTGACTGAATTCACGTTCCTGTGATCCAAGATCACTGCAGATGGTGACTGCAGCCATGAAATGAAAAGGCGCCTGCTCCTTGGGAGGAAAGCGATGGCAAACCCTGACAGCATAAAAAAAAGTAGAGACCCTGCCAACAAAAGTCTGTATAGTCAAAAAGTCTGTATATTCCCAGTAGTAATGTATGGCTGTGAGAGTTGGACCATAAGGAAGGCCGAGCACTGAAGACTAGATGCGTTCGGATTATGGTGCTGGAGAAAATTCTTTGAGAGTCCCCTGGACTGCAAGGAGATTAAATCAGTCAATCCTAAAGGAAAGCAACCCTGACCAGTGTTTCCTCTAAACTGAGTTAGTGTGAGCTAGCTCACAGTTTTTTAGCCTCTGGCTCACACATTTTTGTCTTAGCTCAGGAAGGATGGCTCCAGAGCAAACTAATTTATGCAGTAGCCAAACTGCTTACTCACAACTTTAATCCCAGTAGCTCACAAAGTAGAATTTTTGCTTAGAGGGAGCATTTCCCCTGCCTGTTCTCTGGAAGGCCAGATACTGAAGCTCAAATACTTTGGCCACCAAATGAGAAGGGAGCACTCACTGGCGAAGACCCTGATGCTGGGAAAGATTGAAGGTCAAAGAAGAAGGGGACGGCAAAGGATGAGATGGTTAGACAGTGTCATAGATGCAACGAACATGAAATTGAGCTAACTCCAGAGGACTGCAGAAGACAGGTGGGCCTGGCGTGACGTGGTCCATGGGGTCGCGAAGAGTCGGACCCGACTATGCAACTGAACAACAACAACAACAAGTTTCCCAAGTATTCAGATGTTTTGTCTTATTTGATAGACTGTATTCTCTAATCATTTCAGTAAAACAGCAGAACCTCTCAGAAACTTTGAAAAGGGCAAAAGCATGAGATATACGGGAATCACATATTTCAATTCGTATATTTTATTCACTGTCTTATTCAAATTTGCCACTAACTAAAGCTTGTTCCAGAATTGCTTCAGAATTCACTGGCTTTCACTCCTTGCAATGATAAAAACTGAGGCTGAATAAGGAGAAAATCATGAATATATTGGCTAGAAACACAGACTTTTGGAGAGAGAATATATCAAGTACAGATGTAATACAAATGATAGTTCAAAGAACATTCAACACCTAAACAGTTTTAAATTCAAAGTCCTATTAAAATGATCATGTAAAGTCATAACTGTTTATCAATGAGAAACCTTAGTGCAGACAAAAACAATTTCGATGGAAAGGACTTTTCCTGGAAAATGCTTCTCATATATCTAAGGCTGAAACTACACAACAGAAAGCAATATGTATCTTTCTCTCAATTTTTAAAAAACAAAATAACAGTAGTGAGGGCTACTCAACACTGATCTCCCCCCAGCTGTTTTTCACCCATCACAAGAAAAGATTCAGGCACCATTTTGGTTTTTAAAAAAGAGGAAGAAAATGAACAGCAATTGGAGAAAGACACACATGACTGCAAATCCTGAGAAATATCAGTCTTACGAATTATGATTAGGGAATGGCATGTTGTAATGAAAGGAATGTCAAGTGTGTTTTTAGCAGTATAGTCCTAAGATGAGTGACACACTTCTAAGTCCATTGAAGTGAATGTGCTTAGAAAGGTATAACTCTGTTTTGGATTGCACAGCATACGCAGGAATTTCAAAATACAGTCTTCTACACATTTCAAGGCAGGATTAGGGACTGCTGACACAGAACACATTACATTTATAGAGAAATTATACAAGGAATCTGTGTAAATGTCAGTCCTTCAAAAATAATACAGTAAGATGTTCCGAGAACAATGCAGACACAAAGGAAGACCCAGGAAAGCTGGGGGTGGGTGGGAATAATCCAAGCTAATGATCTCTTAACTCTGGTTCATCATATTAGCCAAAGCCAAAGCCACTCCAATGCCTTTCTGCTTCAGTGGGACCTCAGTTAAGTTACATAAGACTATAATTCTGGGACACGTCACTCTGGAAGATCTGCTGTAAAAAAGGAAGAACTGTGGAAGGGAAAAAACAGAGGCCTACTTCTACATAGCTTTGGCACTTCCCCCCCTCATGCTCTTTTAAATGCAAATCCTACCAGCCCCTGAAATGAGGCAAGATCAGAGTGCCTTTTACTGTTCTGCGGCCATAGACTCTTCTTCAGCCTCCTGCTTCTCGATAGGGGCTTCCAGGGGAATCAGATATTGTACTTCCTCAGTGCTGACTGCCACTTTATCAGGCTGTAGCCAGCGCTTCAAGTGTTCCAAAGTGCTGCAGGAAAGAAAAAGAGTGAGGTAAAAATGCAAGGTAGCAGTAGGGGAAAGCAACAGCATAACCAGGTTATCAGAGTTTATTTCCATCTGTAGGTTAAGGGAAAATATACATAAAAGTAAGCAATATGCAATCAGTTAATTATATTAATTTAAAATACTTTTTATACCACACTCATAAGTTACTGAGATAAGCCTTGGCTATCAAATGCCAATTCAAGTAAAAATCTTTGCTGCCTTTGGAAAATATTCAGGCTTTGGCTAAACTCCAAGGACTGAGCAGCTACTGAAGAACACCTATGTAAAGGCTGTTCAACAGAGCCATGCCACACTGTCCTATTGAGACTATGTAATTTCAGGCCAGGGGTGGGGTATCGCAAGCTTCTAGGTATTAAAAAATGTCTTGCACAAAGAGGCTAAGTTTTTGATGTGTTAGCTTTCTATATGCAGGGAGTTTCTGAAGGGACATGGTGGAAGCACAGAGGAAGCAACTTGATCATTATATATTAACAGATGGGGATCTGCGGGGGAGGGGGTGAGAAACCCCAAGCTAGTTCTCCCTCCCATGCTATCTCAAGCCTTCCCTTTCCCCTGCTTCCTTGCCTCCCTCCCACTTGTTTCAGCCCCCCATCTTCAACTTTCTCTTCCATTCCTCTCTTTCTTCCCCCTTGCACCTTCTCCCCTCTCTCTCCTTTCTTCCCTCCCTCCCTCCCTCCAGGGAGGAGCCTCAGCCAACGAAGTGCAATTGAGGCGGCATGCCCAGGAAGCAAGCTCTGGCTTGTTCCCT